CCAAAGAATAATCTATATAACTCTAGAACTATCTATAATGTACAAGACAAGTCTAGAGAATTCTAAACTATTCTATACAACTCTAGACAAGTTCAGAATAGACTAGACAACTCCACACTATTCTAGAGAATTTCGGAAGTTCCATACTTGTGTAGAGAAGTCTAGAAAACTCCCAGTCCATGTAGGCTGCCATCTCATCTTCTGCTGGGCGCCTGCGTGGCGTGACAATTTTCTACAAAAGAAAATGTCCTGGGGTAATTAGCTAAAGGCTTCATAGATTCAATGGCAATACTCTTGACTGAAGATCAATAACGAAATGACTTTTTTTTTTTTTTTTTGGAGGTAACACAAATTTCTTGAATGGCTTTTATGAAGAAGAAAAACCAAGTGAATTTTTCTTGACAGTCTGTATATGATTTATGTGTATTCATAATGCCGTTTTAAATTTTTTTTCGTTATATTTTGATATGTGTGTGCATTTAATAAATAAAAAATAAAATAAAATAAATTTTGACGATGCTGATGGATCATTCATAAAAAGGATAAATTATAATATTTCTGACCGAAAATTGTTAGTCCACGGTAAATTGAACTTCAAATTAAACTCCTCCAAAACACTAAGTTCACGTGAGGGCAAGCACGTATGTGAGTGAGTACGTTTCTTGTCTAGGTAAAATTTTTTTAAAAAAATAAGAAAACAAAATATTCAAACTTTCATTTTCTTTTCTTTGCCTCGACTTTCTCATCAACCAAACGGTTGTTATAGAAATTTAAGCTGCAATCATGATTCGCAGTCGCGGTATAGGTCGCGGTGTAGCGGCCTCTGTCGAATATCGGTGTAAACTGGTTGGTTCATAGAGATGTGTAATAGTATCGGACCCTTATAAAGGGTTACGAACCGACCTATACTACGAACTATGGCTGAAATTGATTACAACTTGTAACATTGAATCAAGGTCCTTGTTTTACAAATGGATAAATAAAATTACTTATGCTACAATTATAATCTATATGAAATTGTAAAATTGAATTTTTTATAAAAAAAATTCAAACCTAATTGCTATAGCAAATTAATTCACAATAAAAATACTGTCACTGATTTGTTCAGGTTATTACTCAACATTTTATCTTACATTCGAAATCATTTATGGATAAGCACTGATTGAATCAAATTAATGTTTTGTAGCATTGAAAACTCTTTAGACCCTCTTTTGCAACTGTTTTTGTTTAGTATTTTTTTTTTTATTATTGCATATGGTGTTCCGTAGCAAAGTAAAATATGGAAATATATTTGATAGCATTTGTTATGATTTGAATAATATCGTGCTTGTTTTCAAAAATGGCCAAAATTGAACACAAAAAATAATAATATTAATATAAATAAAATAAAATAAAATGTTATTGTGAAGATGGAAGAAAAATAGCCAGAATCCAAAATTGCCCATTTGATCAGGAGGAAGTGTTATTCCACATTAGAAGTTTTGTGACAGGTGGAGGACCTAGCCCAAGTTGGGTCTACCCATTCAACATACTCGCCATCTGGTTCGGCGTTTTAGGTTTGGGATTCTCGAGCCAATATTCTTTTCGGACAATTAAAATTTGTTTGGTCATAGACTTATTGGGCTTTGGCCTAGTCCAAAATATTTGAAATCTTGCAAAACCCAAATGATTCGGATTAGTTGGTTCGGAAGGTTCGGGTGGGCAAGCAGTTATGATCTAACTAAAGCGATGTCGGTTCAGCCCGAATCAGTGAAGATGTGTCGGTTTGGGCAGAACGCCCATAGCTGGTTCAGGCCAACCGAACTGATACCATATCTATTCCGAAGCAATATGTCACGGGCCTAGAGATTTGGCGCAGCGACATGGCCCGTGCGGCACCAAGGCGTTGCTTCAACTCGCGTAAGCGCCCTGGTTAGCCACCACGACCTGCCCTCCCAAGGATATATGCTGGCTGGTTTCGGCCTGCCATGGCCTCGTCAGGGGAGCGGCTTCAGCTCCCGACCAGTTTGTGCAGGGATGGCCAACTCCCTTCTTCATAGTCAAGTCCACGACCAGCGACAAGCACCTCGAACTGAACCGAGTCGACCTGCCTGAACTCTGAAGAGGTACCATCCTGTGGTCCTGCACGCCCCTTCCCTAGAACCATTCCCAGTCAATGAATGTTCTTAGCCAACCAGCATGCGTGTCTTCTATACTCATGGCGTCGTTAAAAATCGGATCGTGACAAATAGGTATGGTATCATTTTCTGATTAAAAAATTAAGGCTGTGTTTGGTGGAATGAAACTGGAGTTTTGGAATTAGAATTGGAATTGAAATTAAAATTGGAATAGAAAAAAAAATTTATTTAATTTTCTAAGTTGCTTTTCTCCGATTACACTAATTCCATCCAAAATTTCAATTCCATTTCTACTAAACATAGCCTAAGAAATATATATATATATATATTTATATATATACACTCGATTGTAAATAAATAAAAAATGTCACAACATAAATTACCAATGCCACTATACATGCCTATTAATAATGAATGAAAGAGTATCAAAATTATATTACAGAGAATTGATCGCGCCAACAATCTCATATTCGAGAACAAAACATAAGGGCCAGAATTCATTATACACACACACACCTGAAAATTTTCAAATAAAAATATATTAAAATCTCAGAAAAAGATTAGTTGGGAACCAAAAAGAAAAATCCATAATTAGCTCACTGTCACTAAAAAAAAATTATAAATCAGCCAAGGAGATCAATTTTTGAGCCTCTTTAAAATAAGTTCATCATCCTTCTTTTTTAATTATGCATCAATTTTTATAATTACCTCGGCTTTTATCATCCTAATATTATTTATATATCTCTTTATTTATTTGAGAAATACTTTGTTATTTGCCTTCAAAAGAAAGGCATGATTTCTAAAAAGTCATATTTGGCCATGAGTTCTAAGCGATGACCGGTCTAGAATTTTTTTCTAGTGGTGACATTGAATAATAGTACAATTAATTTTTTTTTGAAACAAGATAATAAATACAAATGGGTAACTGTTGATTGACAAATACATTTCTTTAAAAAAAAAATAAAAAAAAATTGATAAATACTTTAATAATTGTATATGATGATTTTTCACCTTTGGAATTGTTGTGTCTCATTTTCAATCGGATTATATATATTTATGTTCATACATATAATTAAATATGTATGTATATATATATATATATATATAGATAAATAATATACACAAATAAGATTCACACAAACTATTCAATAAAAGAAATGTGAACAATTCTATTTGTTCGCCAATCCTCAAGTCACGAGCCAAGGGCACTGAACGAACCATCCAGTAGGCAGTAGCCCATGCATAAATAAAAATTGAGATCAAATTTCCAACTTCATAAAAGAATTTAAAAACTAAATCTTGCAAAATTTCAAATTTCAAATTTCTCATATCCATCCAAATACTGTGAGAAAAACTTCTTTGCATCCGAGCAATATCCAATTGTTTATTATCGACGTGGGCAATACACATATGCAGGAGCTAGGAAGTGTACTTCAATTGTAACTGGGCATATTGGCCAATTGAGCTCCAATGGCATAATAGACTAAAAGTATTACTTGAAAACTACCAATAGCATAGGTAGGGATGGCAATGAGGTGGCCCTTCTCGTCCTTGTTTTCTCACCCTTTGTCCAAAACCATTTAGCTAAACCCCTAGGGACTTTTTTCGTCCCCGCAACACCTTGGGCTTACGTCCCTAAAATCCGTCCCGCACAAAAACTTAAATGGACCCAAAAAAATGTTTTAAACAGGGCAGGGTGAAAGTGTCCCTACGGACCGTTTTATTTAAGGTTAGTCAGATACCCTACGAGAGAGGATATTTTGTCAATTCTGGGTATAACTGAGGGCTGATTTATGATTCGGCTTACAGCAAAGTTAATTACTCTCCACTAAAAAGAGAAATTTATATACCACCGAGTATGTCTCCCGTCAATATCCAAAGTCCAGTCTGTCTCCACCAGATATAGAACGAGTCCCTTGCCACGGAGAAAAACTTTAATACTCCCGTTATATTGATGTCATGATATTAACGTAATTTGTAGTTATATTGATGGCATGATATCACCGTAACTTACACTTATAATACTCTGTCTGGATTGTCATCTGCAACATCTGTGGCTGAGAGATCACCAAGACTACCAGTGCCATTCTGCCCATTGGTGTATAAATTTAAACTTCTTGTTCTTATTGATATGAAATTTTAAGCCTAAATTTGGATTTCCAATATCAATTAAACCGAATTCAATAATGTTTGGTTTGATAGATTGGACTTGATTTTTTAAAAATATTTTAACAATGATAATAACAACATCAGCCACAACCAAAGGGATTATTAAGCCTAATTTGTATTTCCTCTTCGAGCTTCACTGTGCTTGAAAGATGCAGCATAATACAATGCCTATAAATAACACATTTAGCCTCTGTTTGTTTTGAAGTAAAATATTCTTTCTTGAAAAGTATTTTTATTTTTCAAATAAAATATTCTTTTATTTTTACTTTGTCCGTGTTTGACAAAGGTCTAAATCAAGATTGGGTCGAGTTTATTAGATTGAACATGTAAAATAACTTACCAAAAATTTATGAATAAATTATTTTTATCAAATTTTAATTTCTTTTTCTCCGTAAATATTTTACGACAACCAAATACCATAAACTAAAAAAATATTTTCTAAAAAATATTTTACATCCAAACAAACAGAGCCATAATGCAGACAAAATTTGTAAGAACTGAAGAGCAGAAATTTTTAGATGGTTCTGGGACCATTGGTCTTGGCCCATGTATATTGGATACGTAAACCAAAAAAAAAAGTTCATAGAAACTTACCCATGTTCAATACAATTGCTTACGATGGTGATTTGCCTGAAACCAATGGTCCAATTGCTTACGAAACTAATGGTGATTAACCCGAAACCAATGTTCTCCGAACCATCTAAAAACCACATGTGAACCATAATCATGCCAGATACTCTACAAATCCAAATCAACACAAAAAGATCATCATTCGAAAATATTCACAGGAAGTCCTAAATTAGAGATTCGGTTGCATATTCTACTTGAATCAAGAAGAGTAAAATCATCTGCAATCGCTAAGGGTTAATCCAAAAGGAAGGGAAAAAAAAAACATGTGAGATATCCGAAATCTTAATTTACTTCATTTTCCTTCTGCGATCCTGGGATGAAGACCGAGAGTTGCAACAAGGTGAATAGGAACAATGCCGGTAGTAAACAACAACACCACATATCATCAAGTTTGCAATCTTGAGATATATGTTGTTGTCCTTTTGAGAAATCACAATAATCTGCATCAAAACTTCCAGTAACGCATCCCATAAACTGAAGTCACGGTAACCATAGAGGAGCTCCCTAAACACACAGTACTCAGTAGTAAACGATATCCATGCAAGGCCATAGTAGATATCCTCCACCAAGTGTGACAAAATAAAAAGTGCACATAGATGGAGCAAACACGTTGCGGATTTTGCAAAGCATCCAATCTGATGTTCATACATAGAATTTTGTCCGAATTTACGCCGAGCATGTGCTTCGTATACAATTTGTATGTGTAACATCATCCCAATTGGGAGGATAGTAGATCCAATATTCATATGCCTCTCAAAAACATTCCTTATGCCTTCTATATTAACGAAGCAGCACATGCCAGCAAGAGCAGACACCACTCCATACCAAAACCAAAGTTCACCAATGTTTTCTGCATTTAAAAGTAAGGTTAACTATTGAGCTCACAATAAAATTACCAATATAACAACAACCACACAACAACAATCATCATAAGGGTAAGTTGTAAAAAAAAAAAAAAAAAATCTTTGAACTTGTAGAATGTTGCAAATAACCCTTGACATTACATAACTCCTATCGGATGACAGTGTTTCCATTGCATGCCAAGTGACCAACAAGTGATAGTATTTCCATTGTAGGCATTGTGGAGAATTGAGAGAGATTCAACATTTACGAAAAGTATATCCAAATTTGATAATTTAGATCCATTTATAATTTGTTCTATAACAAATTATTTTTTTTGGATGCCATTTTTTTTCCTTACAAATATCACAAAGAATGATATATTCAAAATAGAGATTAATAGAATAATGTTGCATTAATATATGTGACACACATGCATGCGATTAAAAAATATTATTGTTGCTAAAGAAAAAAAAAATTTCCTAAATGAAAATCTTTTCTATTGTGTCAGAGAATAGGCAAGTGAATTTCTTATTTCTTGTGTACATGAAGGGTAATGTGTAATGAAATCCAAATGAAGATGAAATAGACAGAACCAAAAACCAAACTGAACAAGAAGTACGAAAAAACACTTACCGTTGTACTTTTCTCTGTAGTAGTTGTACTTTTCTCTGAAGTAGTAGGGTAATTTTTCTGATAACCAATATACAAGTTGCATTCTCAACCAATTTATTGATATTTCGCAGCCCATCTGTTATAAACAACATAACCCCAAATTTCATTCGGCTATAACCAATCCCAATTCTACAATTCTAGTACAGGATCTTTTTGAGTTGGCAAACCAATAATAATAATAATAATAATACTTTTAGATGCTTTCACAACACAATATGATGAACAAAAATAATGATAATAACCTTTCCAGTTCTAAAGTACTTCAACCTAATCATCCGAGTTTTTTTCCACAATTTTCCAACAAAGAATATACATTTTCAATAAGCACTTTCACCTAATAATATTTAGGGTTAATTTCACCTAGACCCCCTGAGGTTGGCGCATATTTCACCTAGATGGAGATTTGGTTTTTAGCGACCACTTAAACCCCAATTTGATTTTTGCCCTCAAACACATGCAAATGGACATATTTACCCTCAAAATTTTAATACTACAAAATATCTTTAATTTTAAATGACATAAATGCCCCTCTCTCATCTCTCTCGTCTGTGTCTGCAGTCTCTCACCCACCCCCTTCAACCACCAACACACCACCTCAAAAATGCATAAACACCCACAAACCACCACCTCTGTAATCAATCAAACATACCAAATCCTACACCTAATCACAATCCCACAATCAACGCCCCAATTCACAAAATCGGACCATGTAATCAACAATCCACAAGAAGAAGAAAAAATCAACAATCCACAGCCTGCAAATCAAACCTAAACTCGGCAACGATGGCTGCCATCGAGACCCGCAAGACCCAACAAATCCCGCCGGAGACGAATCCGATCTAGAATCAGACTCAAACCATGGCAAAGACAAGCTCAGCACCCCGTCGTTGGAATTGCGCCACAGGCGCCGATCGACATCTTCTTGAGGAGAGCAATCACGGCGTGTTGGAGGTCCTCTTTATCGCCATCGACGGCGATTGGTGACTGTCGATGCAGATCTTGACCGTCAGCTAGAGGTCCTCCGGCGATTTGCTCTCGATTATCTCCGTCGAGAAGTTCTCGCGTTGCAGAAGACCCAAGCTCAGGGACCGTCCGGATGATAGTGAGCTTGTGGCTTCGGATGATGGCGGCAACGAGCTTGAGATTCAGTCATCCCGTCCATCGCCGAGCTACCTCATCCTAGCCGCTTCGATCTCACAACCGACCGCCGAGAGTCCATCCCATTCGCCGACTGCTGATTTAGTTATCCCGTCCATCGCCGAGCTCCCTCATCCTTGCCGGTCAAACTCAAATGTGCACAGCTGCAGTTCATCCACAGCCATCGCCCGAGGACGCCGTCGCTGTCATCTTAGCCGCCGCTAGTCATCCACGGCCGAACCGATCTCCCAACCCCCGACCTATATTCGACTCCCCTGTTCTATTTATTGGGCTCCTCTCTCTCTATATATGTGAATCATTCTCTCTCTATATATGTGAATCATTCTCTCTCTCTCTTCACAAATATCAGAGAGGTCTCACTTTGCCAATCTACACTCTCGCCTCACTTCCCCAACAGAAGATGGTGTAGGTTAATTGGGACGATTGTCGGAGAGGAGGAGGAAGATGAAATGTGTGTTGGGGGCAGTTTAGTCACAAAAAATAGTCAACACGAGGTCAAAGGGTAACATAGTCATTTAACACTAAAAATTGACATTTGGGGTGTAAGTGAAATGTTAAGCCACTAATTGGGGTTTAAGTGGTCGCTAAAAACCAAATCTCCATCTAGATGAAATATGCGCCAACCTCAGGGGGTCTAAGTGAAATTAACCCTAATATTTAAATCGCTCCTTTACCCAGTTGTGAAGATTATAACCACTTTATTGATCGGTCTGGGGGGTTTGTTAAAAAAAAAAAAAATTTGTTCAAAATAATGTTAAAGAGGTACCAAGGGCAATAATGTATGAACATGATCAATACTTCTACCTACTGAAAGAGGTAATCATTGTAATATATATATATATATATATATATATATATATATATATATATATATGTTTTCTCATTTTTCTCAACTGCCAAACAATTGTAAAGAAAATCACATCCACATTGGAATATATAAAAATAAAATATAAAACAAAAAACTTTTATTTTTTTCAACACCATATAAAAATAATAATAATAATAATAATAATTAATGCAAAAACTAAAAAAAACACCGTATAACAATTGAAAATTCATCTATTAAGCCATTGTCAGTGGAAAAATAGGAGAAGGAATGAGATTGTGGAGATGGAAAATACTGAAAGGGTGTGGTGTGAGCAGGAGAGGGAGGTACCGGAATTACGAGGATGTAAGAGATTGTAGCCTTGTAGGCTCTTTTTTAAGTCCTAACTGTAAATTTTGTTACTTCTAAATCTTCATATTTTATAGGCACTTAAATAGTCTATATTTTATATTTTATATTTCAAAAGGAGTCGTCGCTGGGTCTGGGTCACATTCCTTGCAAATAATTATACGAAAGAGGCGACTTTCAATAACAAGAATATAATATATGTACAATATTATCGAAAATTAAGTTGGAATATTTTTAAGATTTTAACAAAAAAAATATAGGTAATTTTGTAACTAAAAAAAATTTCAGAGCCTTTACAGGTCCCCAGTGTCATTGCAAGTAATTGACAAACAAACAAACAACTACATACTCCACAAAAATCTAATTGCCGTAAAACCAAATTCAACATGGAATAACTTTTCTCATAGTTCATGCCTTAAAATCATAAATTTCTCTTTTTTTCATTGACGTTTGGGTCTTAAATTCATGTTAGTATGTACAAATTTTGAAAATTAAGAATTAGTATATGGAACAATTTATTTGGGGGGGGGGGGGGGGGGGGGTGGTAAGTAATTGTTTATGAAAAAAAAAAATAAAAAAAAATAACTCATTACACAAAAAGTTAATTCTCTGAACCCAATTAGAGGAGATGGTTCGCAGAGCCATGAAAACAACAAGGGTCTACAAGTATTGGGCTAAGCTAATTTTTTTCTTTTTTTCCAAACCCAAGGTCATAAAGATGATAATTTTATTTCCTGATTTGAAGAAACTCATATGTATAACAAACATATATATAGATTACATACCTTCGAAACAATTACTGGAACAGGCAACAGGCAATAGATCTATCGATTTGAAGACGAGATTCAGGGTCTGCAGATTGTGATGAGAACGGCAGGAAGGGTTTGGAACAGAAAATCGGTTTTGGACAACCGAAGTAATTTAGGCTCTCTCTCTCCATATATATATATATATATATGAGGAGGAGTACTAGAGTGCGCTCCGCAATACTAATCACGCAGTGCCCACTAAGATTTTAGAGGCCCACTAGGTTAATTAAACAAGAGAGAGTACAGTAATAAATTTCACATCACAGTAATAAATTTCAAACCGCTGTCAGTGTATAAAATTTAACAAAATATCAAAAAAATAAGGGTAATGTGCAAAAGAAACCCCATAAACTTTACTCTCTCTCCCAAAAAACCTCTCTGAATTATTTTTTTAACAGAAAACCCCCTAAACTATCACACTTTTTACAAAAAAAGCCAGGTGACACTGTTTCAGTAAATTTTGGCCGTAAAATAGTCACGTGCATATGCTGTAAATTGAAAATGCCAATCCTACCCTCTTTCTCTCTCTATATCTAAATTCTTTCCCAAATTACAGACATTGGACCCTGCAATTTATTGTTCTACAATGAGACATTCACCAATTTGGGAAGAGAACTCAGCGTCGGAGGCACGACACCGGTGAACTGATTGTCCCGGAGCTGCAAAACGAAGAGATTCGCACACTGAGACAGGTCCGGGATAGGACCCGTGAACCATCGCCGAGCTCACCGCGCCTACCAAAAGCTCATCACACAGCCGCCGGATCTGTTCTCACAGCCGTCTTCTTGTCTCCCCCAGATCCGTTTCGAGCTCGATCCACCACCGCCGAATCTGTTTTCATCAACCTCGCAATCGCAGCCTCCTCCTCTCCGATCGACCACTACCTTATCGACTATGGCTCAACTGAATCCATCACCGTCGACGTTGACAACCGCCGTTTCGTCGGCGACTCTCCGTAGCTCGAACGATCTCACACAGGGATTTGAACCCACTTTCAAATTTTGTCCCGGTTCATTGTATGCCAGTTCCGGCCCAAGTTCTTGGTTGTAATAAAACAAGAGAATCGACATAGAGAGAGAAGATCTAAGCATTAACGGTGCAATCGCAGCGGCCAAAGTGAAGTCTCCGGCCAAAAAATTAGTGCAATAGCAGCGGCCAAACCATTAAAATCTCTGACAAAAGAGGAGCGGTGCTACACCGAAGTTGTTGATACAGAGGTCTCGGTAGAAGGAAAATTCTCCACGTTGATGGTGGTGGTGAGCTGGCTGCCGGGCGATTCCGGTGACTTGGAGACCTGTACCACGGCGACACAAGGTCGCCAAGTAGTAGATTTGGACATGGGTCGCCATGAAGTCGACCTTTCCAAGCTGTGATGCACCTACGTAGCCGCAACCTTGCGGTCGCTTTTTCGCGACGCCGATGACCACTGCCGAAGCAGTGCCTCCATCATCGGGCATGAAAAGGAAAGAGAGGGGAAGAGAAGGTTAGACAGAAGAGAGAGATAGAGAGGGAGGAGGGGGGAGGTTCGTACAGTAGCTATGTTGGTGTTGCAATAGATGAGTTAAGGTTTCAAAGCTTAGCTTTCACTGGTTGGTTCAGCGATGACTTTGTTTGGCGTTGAAGTTTTGGTAAAGTGATAATGAGTTGTTCAAATATTATTGGCTGTTCACAATTTGTTTGACACATCAGCAATAGAAGCCCATCAAACACTAAAACGGCGTCCTTTTATAAAAGGGTAATTTTGTAATCAAACATCTCCGGTGACCTTTTATGCCGGAGACTATTCATTTTGTCCTTAAATTGTACATTTTTAATAGATCATGGGGTATTTTTTAGTTTAGGGGGGTTTTGTGTTTTTTGCTGAAAGTTCAGGGGGGTTAAAGGACCCAAAAAGTAATGCTATGTATTTGATTCTACAATTACTAAGTCACATAGGAGAGAATATTGGGTACCCCAAGGTTACCCCGTTTGCATTGACACCTGCTAATCCAATTAAAACGTGACATGTTGCTAACTTTTCACATCAGCATCACGCTCAACATAGCAGCAAGAAACTAACAGCAAGAAACTAACGGAGACGTCGTCAACTTTCTTTCTCTCTCCTCAGCCCTTCATCCCACCTTCTTTCTCTCTCCTCGTTGCTTTTTTCAGAGGACCAAGTTATCTTTCTTTTTCTCTCCTCAGCCCTCCATCCCACTTTCTTTCTCTCTCCTCGTTGCTTTTTTCGAGGAACCAAGTTATCGATTAGGGCAGAGACGAAATTCTTATTTCCCACATAACTATGGTTACAATGAGTCTCGTTCTCTGTGTTATTTCTCTCATGAGTTTTTGAGGTTGATTTGCAAGATTTCCCTGTAGGTTCTCTGAAATTAGCTTTATACTATTTTCGGTATCACTTACAGGGTAATCCTCGCTTCTCCTGTGGGGTAGCGAATTCCAGGTTGGACTTCTGGGACATTATGGCATGCTGCTCGGAGTTCTGGACCAGCAGCTCTATGTTTGGCTATCAAAAGGACACCCAAAATTACGGTAGAGTTCATTGAAAACAATTTCATTAGGAAGCTATTAGCATATGTTCTTGTTGATTTAGCTGGTGTTATCAAATCAAAATACAAATTTTGGAAAGAATTTTGCTTCACTAACTTGAATTCGGCAGAATCCTTGGATAATATTCGCCAAGAAGGTGACATTTAAAATTTTTATTCCAAGCTAAATTAGGGAATTCAAACCCCAGTATAACTCAGTATCTGAATGTACCTATAGTAGTATAATTTTGTAATCCCATGTTGTGCAATTAACTAATTGCAGTATCTATTTGAGGTGCATTTAGAAATCCCACGAACATTGAATGGTTTCATTATCTTTATGCCATGTGCAATTTCAGGCGAGGATTTGGATGATAGGTCATCCGAGAAGTACGTTGATTGCTGTGAATCCGGCGAAGAACGATGATAGCAACGGCGCGAGAGAATTGGTGGCAAAGACTGAATCGGCGATGTGCAATTTCAGGTAAGGATTCTTGGTTCGGTCGACTGGTGCAGCGATGGCGATGGCGATGGCGGCATGGGCCGACGATGGGCTGTGGAGAGGACTGGTTCGGCCGGCTAGTGCAGCGATGACGATGGCGATGGCGGCATGGCCAGCGATGGGCTGTGGAGAGGTCGATTGTGACCTTGCGGTGCGGCAACGGCAAGCAAGAATTGGCCGGCTGGCTTTACCAGTTTTGACACAAGCGGCCGACAACCGATTCACTTACGAAACCTATACTGGTTATCTAGCCTTGTGTTCAAAATCCTTATTTTTTTGTTCATTATTGAGTGATTAAAAAGGGTTTAGATGGAAGTTATTGGGTCTTTGTTTGTTCGTACAGGGAGTCCAATCCGGCTTTCTTGTTGTGCATACCAGCACGTTTGACTTGGTACTCGTTGATGGTGATTCCGACGACGTTCACGCTGGAGTGGGCGGCAATGGCGCACATAGGGCCTCCAACTTGGTCTCTGAAAAAAAAATTTACTTGAGGAGAGAGAAAGAAAGTGGGGATGGAGGGCTGAGGAGAGAAAGAAAGTTGACGACGTCTCTGTTAGTGGCTTGCTGCTATGTTGAGTATGATGCTGACGTGAAAAGTTAGCAGCATATTGGACTAGGGTAGCAGGTGTCAATGCTGACGGGTACCCTGGTGCAAAATTGCAGAAATTGAGAGTGAGATCAATTTAGACTAATTATGTCACTAAGTCAATGAATATACGCGTGTGGCAAATTGCCTTCACGTGATTCACGAGTATCCATCCATCCCAATACTTTTGATAGAGCTTGGGCCTTGATTGAGCTATTCCACAAGTCTGGATAAAGAAGCTGGGATGGTCCTGGACTCTGTTGGTCCATTGAAGCTCACATTGATTTGGGTCCTGACAATGAATTCAGAATTTGAATTAAATATAGGTTCTTTGTTTGGATATAAAATATTTTTATTTTTTATTTTAAATTTTTTGATATTTGGTTTTTCCAAATTATAATAATATATATATATATATTTTTTCGGTTTCTCTACAGTATAATATTTCTTACAGCATATAATACTAAAACATTTCCTTGAACAAAAAATAAAAATATTACAAAATAATGATGATACACACCACTAGTAGTAGCTTTCCGTTAATACCAAGTCAAAGGTAAATCATTAACCATAATTTTTGACAATGTCTTTAGTAGACTAAGTAGAAAAAAAGGAATTACATGACCAAATCATAGGTTCCCAAGTGCTTCAAAAGTATTCATTCAAAGTGCTAACTTAGTTCAATCATTAATCAGTAGTAGAGTGACCATTTGGTATCAGTTGTCTAATTAAGAATAAGTATCGCATCTCTGGAGGATAGATTAAAAAGGCTCTGGCTTTGACAGGATCTGCATTCAAGAATTCAAATGAAGTCATTCGGCTACTGAGATCAAGCTCCTCAACATCCATTATAGCATATAAAGTTCCGAATAATTTATGCAAGGCTTGCTCTTCTCATATGCATCAGCTAATCTTGCCATGTTATTTGAAATTGCATTCATGGTTTCAGCAACATTATCCATGTTTCACGGTTTCTTTGAACGACGTTTAGATGAGCTTGAAGTACGTTCCTTGGTTATCTTTACATCCAGTTGGTTGGCTATCTAAAAAAAAAATTCGGTTAGTAATATTAATAGAAGATGTACGTGCAAATAATTAAGGCATTTTAAGTATGGGCCAAAACAAAAGAAAATACCACTCATCATGTTAGCTGCGTTACCTTGCTCAGTAGCAGAATAATTTTCTTCTGCATCACCTAAGTCATCCATGTTAACTTCTTCGTTAAGGTCCACTAATGGTGTATATTCCTCCCCAGTGTCATTCATTGGTTTTGACTTCTTAGCATTTATATCTTTGGCTGAATTAGCCCATTCTCCAGTTGCATAATCATTGCCACAAACTATAGCCAATTCATCAAGCATGTCAATTCTCTTACCTCGTAAACCTTTTGCATCGGGATTCGCCTAATTAATGATTTCAAACAAAAAATATATATGCAAAAGAAAAATATCAATATGAATCCATGTATCTTTAATAAATAAATAAATAAAATTAAAGAAAAATATCAATATAAATCCATGTATATCT